TGGAGGGAGAGAGAAATCTAGGTATGCATATGAGTGGCGAGACAATGGGAGGCGAGACATGAGGGCATATCGCGTAGGTATGTATCGAGGTGGCATATCACGTATCATAAAAAGAAAGAACAAGTGCAGCGCAGCGAACACATATCCATGGATGGGTCGCATAAAGAATACGATGCATAAAGAACGCGATTCGAAGAGAGATCCTGGATCCTGGGCATATCATCATCGAACGTGCATAGGATGGCCTAGAAAAGACGTGCCGCGACGCCAGAGAAAAGAGAAAAAAAAGGCCCCGCTAAAACGCGCCGACAGCCAACACGCCATACAGCGCGCGCGCCTCCTCGAAGCGCGCGTGCCGCAGACTGAAGTGTGCGATCGCGGCCGAGTCGGCGTCCACCTCGGGCGCGACGATGGAGAGCTTGATGAGGGAGGAGTAGAAGCGGCAGAGCTGGGGGGAGGCAGTTAGCATGTGCTACGGGTATAGGTATAACGAGGAAACGAGAGGGAGGAATGCGTGGGGGATGAGGGAGGATGCAAGAAGTAGAATAAAACACTCCAAAAGAAAAAAAAAGGAAGGCACTCGCTCCAAAAACAGAAGGTGACCGCGAATTAGCCACCGGCGAAGCCGGAAGAATAAAAATGCGAAACGACTAAAAGAATCAAAGAAAGACGCGCCCATGCCCCCGGGATAAGACGAGCCCCAGGCAAGAAAACAAGAGATCTCCCCGCCACCGCCGCCGCTAACGGTAACACCACCTCCGCCAAACGGCCGGCTCGCAAAGAAAGGAAATAACAGCCTGTCTCCCGGCCACCTCGCGCACCAAACCACCGAAAAGAAAAAACAGAAAGCAAAAGCACCCTCGAAAAAAAAATAGGAAGGAACGCACCCTCCTAACCCCCAACTCCCACCCGTCCCCCACGCTCCCCGCGTCCTCACTCTCCTCCCCATCTCCCGCCCACCCCCTCCCTCGAGCCTCCTCCGCCCGCTCGAGCGCCGCAACGCTCTCCGCGACGAACCGCCCCAGTACGTGCGTGCGCACGAGCGCCGCGACCGTCGTCGTCAAGCCTACACGCACACCAATCAGCTCGTACGCGCCGCCCGAATGAACGAACGCGTGGCGTACCATTACCAGCACCCCCTCCAATCCCATTACTTTCCCCACCACCCCCACCCCCAGCACCCCCCGCCCCAAAGTCCGCACCCGGCGCACCCCCAACGATCGTCCCGTCCCTCAGGAGCCGCCCAAGCAGGTCGAACGTCGGCAGCGTCGGCGGGAGGCGCGCGAGTACATCGAGGTACGGCGCGGTCCCCGGCGGGAGCAGGTCGTCGTGCAGGCTGCCGTTGACGCCGTTGGTGCCATGCCCATTAACCGCTATCACCAAATCCGCCGTCAATATCCTTTTTCTCTACTGGTGATGGGGAAAACACATACCATTCCCGTTCACCCCGTTTACGCCGGCCACACCACCACCGCAGGTGTTATCGCCCGCATCCCCCCCGCCCGCGAGCAGCGCGACGAACAGTGGGTGCGCGAGCGGCGCGTTGTGCGCCACGAGCGGGGCGAGGTCGCGCGTCGTGAGCATCGCGGAACGCGCGAGCGCGGGGAGGAGCGGCGTGAGGCGCTGGATAAAAAAAAAAGAGGGTGAGTGACGGGACAGTGGATCTGGGTAGAAGGAATAGGATGGATAGAAAACGATCGGCAAGGCAACGAAGAAAAGAAACGAGAAAGAATCGGGGGTGGACGATCAGCAGTGGGCGAACTCGCGGCCAGTGAAGATAAGAAAATCGACGGAGAAGATGAGGAAATCAATAGCATGAAGTGCCAGGCACGAGACTACGGACAAGTCGAAGGATGGAAACAGGGCGAGAATGGCGGAGAATGGAACGAACGAACACAAAAAAAAACCAAATAAACGAAAACGATGGAACCCGCCAACAAAAGCGAAAGGTCCCAAGGCAAGAGAAAAACCGGCCGCAAGACGCAAACAGCGGCGAACGATATACATACTCCCACCCAACGCATGAGAAGACTCCACATAAAAAGACGAAACCAAAAATCCCCTACTCCCCAGGGAGAAGAGAAAAAAAGCAAAAGAAAAGCCTCCCTGAAGACGCAAGAGTCTTCCTGTCTCCGCGCCAGCGAACACAGAAAGGCTTCAACCACTGCCGCATCCTGGCATCTCCGCTATCCACGCCAGTGAGCCTCGCCACACTCCCTAGCCGCGCCCCCCAGCGCGAAACAGGCAACGAAGAATGAAAAATAAGAGAAAACGAAACGGACCAAAGAAAAAGCCGCCGAGCTGCAAAAAGTGGGTCCACCCCTCGAAAAAAAAGCCCACAAGAGAAGCAACAAAAAGCCGCGCAAGGACGGTAAAAAAAAGCCTCGGGAGAGCAGCAAGAAGCTCTGCGCAATAAAGGCCCGTAATAGAAAGCACCACAAGAGCAGCAACGAACTCCCAAAGTTCGGGGGTTGGGATCGGGGTGGGGTGCGCCTCGAAACTCCCTAATCCCATAACGAACGGAGGAACGCCAGCCTCGAACCCACCACCCCCCAATAACGAACGAAGGAACGCCAGCCTCGCCGCAACAAAAAACCCCCACAAAACCCACAAAAGTGCCCCCAAAAGCACAATAACGAAATCCGCACAAAATACACCCCGCAAAAACAAAACAACAAAACGCCACAAAGGAACAAAAAACCTCACCTTCCCCTCCCCCAAACTCAACACCCGCCCGCGCGCATCTAGCAGGAGGCGCATCGCATGCGCGACGGCCGCGTTGTGCGCGTCCTGCGCGGGGGTGATCTCGCGTTGTTCGCGTTGTTCGTCGGTGCCGTTGGAAGTGGCGGTGAAGGCGGCGGCAGGGGCCAAAGCAGATGTAGTAGCACCGCCGTCATTTTGCGCAGCACGGGCGTCGGTATCGTCCTCCTGAAATGGAGAGCGCGTCGTAGAATAAGCAGAAGAAGCGTCGGTCGTCGGCGCCGAATAAGCAGAAGAAGTGGTGTCCGAAAAGGTTAAATAAGGTGCGCCGGGGTTGGCTGAGGGTGCGTGCGGGTGCGTGAAGTTGTGGTTATTATTGTTATCGTTGTTGTTATTCCCGTTCGAGCCGTTACTGTTCGCGTTTGAGCTGAAATCGTCCTTGTTGTTGTCGGCGTAGGTATTTTCGTAGGTCGAGGCGTTCGCGGGAAAGCTGCGTCGTCGAGAGAAACAAAAAGAATGAGGACAAGGATTAGCGTGCGTGAGTGGGGAAGGCGGAAGGCTCACGCGTCGAGCACGTCCGGGTCGAAACCGCCGAGTACGTCCGCGTCGAGGCTGAGGCGCGTCGCGCGCAGGTTGGGCGGGAGCAGCGAGCGCGCGAGGGCTGTGGGGGAGTAGGGGCCGATCTGGATTGGAGTCGGGTTAGCGTAAGTTCGTTATTGGCAGGATGGTATCCGCGGGTGGCGTTAGCTGAAAAAGAAAGTGGCACGACATGGAAGGGGAGGGAAATGGAAGGAGGAGAACAACTCACATCCTCGCCGTCGCCCTTGAGGATCTTCCACAGCACCCACACCAGCGGCTCGTTCGGTGCGACGCCGCTCTGTCCGCTGCTGTTGAGAACCTCCTGCTGCTCGCCGCCATTCGTTTGCTGCCCGCCCACACCCCCCGCAATCCTTACGGCCTTCTCGCGCTCCTTGACAAAGGTCCCGACGAGCACGCTCTTGAACGGGTTGATCGCGATGGGGTGCGGCGCGTACAGCGCGAAGAGGATGAACGAGACGAGGATGCGGTCCGTGAGCTGCGGGCGAGGGAGTGGTTAATTAAAACGAGTGTAAATAGGGAATAGATGACGCATAGATAGGCGAAGCGCCACGGAAAGATATGCGAAGCGGGACAGAACAGAATGACGTACCTCGCACCCGCCGGGCGGGTCGAGCACGGGGAGCAGCGCGTCCAGCGCCAGCTGGAACGTCGACGTCGCTGCGCCCATGCCGCCACCCGCACCACCGTGACTGCCAAACGACGACGCCCCACCCGACGCCGCCGCCAATCGAGCAAAAGCCGGCGCGGCTGCGGAGCAGGGGTACGAGCTCGCGCGGGCGAGGAGGAGCGCCACCGAGGCGCGCAGCGACGGCGGGGAGGAGGGCATCGCCGGCAGCGACGATCCCATCGATGGCGAGGTCGTTGTATTGGGCGTTTGCGCCTGGGATGGGGACATCCCGCGTCCGCACCGTGGTGGGAGGGAGAATCCGATGGGCTTTGTTGGTGCGTATTGATTACACGTGGCGATGGCGTGCGCTTCGGCACGGACCGGCCCCGCGAGTAATGTTGAAAAATTAGATAGAGACTTATTGGGGCAATAAAAAATAAATGAAATGAAGGAAGAGGAATAAGAAAAGGAAAAAAAGAGGGATAAGTTATGGGCCCCGGTCGTGGCGGCACACAACCCACTGCCCCGAGCTGGAGTCGGTTCTGCACAATCGTACGAGGAATACATAAGATGATACAGATGCAGACCACTCTGCCATCGAGGCATATTCCAAAACAAATTCAAAACATCAGATGATCTATCTATCGAAATCGAACGCGACCTCTCGCAGAAGCGTGGAATTTAATTAATCAATTTTGATTGTCGTGCGCGCATAGTCTCGCATAGTCCCATCCTCCGCACTCACGCACATATAGACATACCCAACTTCTATAGTTTATGAGAACGGCAGGATGGCGCACGGCGCGCATCGGCTTCTCATAGGGCAGTGAGAACTGACTTTCAAGCCGAGGGTCCCCGTTCGACTCGAGGTCCTGCCATGAACCTGATTTTTTTTTTTTTTTCAAATCTTCCCACCTCTGTTTCCATACAATATTCATCCTCTGTGAAATATATTCCAACCAATGAGACATGGGTAGCCAGTCTCTGTGTGCTTTATCGGCACACTTTATCTTCCTGTCAACCCGGTAGGACTGATATGCTGATTCAATAAATCTATGACCACATATATTAACTGCACAAAGGCTGGGAGAAAGGCAGGAAAGCGCAGGGTGCGCGTCGGCTTCTCATACAAGGAAATCTTGATAAAATAAACCGAAGGTCCCCGTTCGACTCGGGGTCCTGCCATAATTTCTGCATAGGTGATTTTTTTTCGAGGTGTTATCACCTTTGTTCCTATGCAATATTCCCTCTCAGTGAGCGATATTCAAGTCGAGGGGACGTGCGCTGCTCGGTCGACATTTTTTTTTTCCCTGTCAGTCCCGGCAGGGCTGATCAGTAATATGCGGTAAATCGCACGCCAGCACAAATGACGGGAGAAAGGAAGGGAGGCGCAGGGTGCGCGTCGGCTTCTCATAAATGAGACCCGAACTTAAAGCCGAACATCCCCTGTTCAACTCGGGGTCCTGCCATACATGAGGATGCAATCAGTTTTTTTTTTTTTTCGAGGACGCATCACCTGTGTTCCTATGTGTACAGAATTCTCCCTCGAAATATATTCGAGCCGAGGGATGCGCGCTGCTTGGCCGGCGCATTTTATTTTCCTGTCAGCCCGGTAGGACTAATACTTTGATTCGATAACTGCATGAGCACATATATGAACTGCACAAAGGATGGGTGAAAGGCAGGAAGGCGCAGGGTGCGCATCGGCTTTTGATAGAGGGAAAGTCTTTGCGAGAAAATGAGCCGAAGGTCCCCGTTCGACCCGGGGTCCTGCCATTGAGCATTCACAACAATGTTTTTCTTCTTCTCCTCGAGGTGGCATCACCTGTGTTGATATATGTACAGTATTCTCCCCCTGTGCAATATATTCAAGCCGAGGAGACGTGGGTAGCCTGTGTGCATTGTCGGCACACTCTATTTTTTCGCGGTAGGACTAGCGGTTCTTTTCAACAATCCGACACATAGTATACTACCTGCGTAAAGGACGGGAGAAATGCAGGAAGGTACATGGTGCGCAGCGTCTTCTCATGAAAGGGTGTGGGACATTGATATGCAGGTCGAAGGCCCCGTTCGACTCGGGGTCCTGCCATAAACACAATGCCAAAAGTAGTTTTTTCTTTTCTTTTCTTTCGAGGACGCATCATGTCTTCTCACCTGTTTCCATACAATATTCTTCCCCTTTGAAAGATATTCCAGCCGAGGAGACGTGGGTTGCTTCACTTTATTTTCCTGTGAGACGAATATGTTGATTCAAATTCACTAAATCCACGAGCACATATATTAACTGCGCAAAGGATGAGTGAAAGGAAGGAAGGTGCAGGGTGCGCGTTGGCTTCCCATGAGTACTCTGGGTTCGTCTAAGCTAAATATCTTCGTTCGACTCGGGGTCCTGGCATAAGCAATTCGGTCAGAGGACTTTTTGCTCCATCTCATTATTCGTTAGTATGTCAACCCACAACGACTCAATAATCTTGCACGCATATCAACAGCTTGAAAGATGGGATAAAGGCAGGAAGGCGCAGGGTGCGTGTTGGCTTCTCATGGACCGTTTCTGAAAGGATAAAGCCGAAGGTCCCCGTTCGACTCGGGGTCCTGCCATCAACATCTGAAGAGGTCTTTTTTTTTCGAGGTGGTATCACCTTTGTTCCTATACGATATCCTTCTCAGTGGGCGATAGTTGAGCCGAGGGGACGTGTGCTGCTCGGCCGGCGTATTTTATTTTCCTGTCAGTCCGCTAGGACTAATACTTTGATTCAATAAATATATGAGCACATATATTAACTGCACAATCGATGGGAGAAAGGCAGAGAGGCGCAGGGTGCGCATCGGCTTCTCATAAATGAAACACCTAGTTAAAGCCGAACATCCCCTGTTCGACTCGGGGTCCTGCCATACAGTTGCAAAAAGTTTCTTTTTTTTTCGAGGACGCATCACCTATGATCCTATGTGCACAGAATTCTCCCCCCTCCAAATATATTCGATCCGAGGGACGTGCGCTGCTTAGCCGGCGCATTTTAATTTCCTGTCAGCCCAGTATGACTAATACTTTGATTCGATAAATGCATGAACGCATATATTAATTGCGCAAAGGATGGGAGAAAGGCAGGGAGGCGCAGGGTGCGCGTCGGCTTCTCATACGAGAAAATTTCGACAAAATAAACCGAAGGTCCCCATTCGACTCGGGGTCCTGCCACATTTGTGCATTCGTCATCTTTTTTTTATGCACATTTATATATCGTGTCTCATTATATTCTCCATCCATGAGATAAATTCCATGCTTGCCGCGGTAGATAGTCCGCGCATCGTTCCCGCACCCAATCCCAATCCCAATTAACCAATGATGCTCGATTCGCTAAATCTCGCACGTATATTAACAGCGTAAAGGATAGGAGCAAGGCAGGAAGGCGCAGGGTGCGCGTCGGCTTCTCATAAACCTCCGTGACGTCAATATATAAGCCAAAGGTCCCTCCCTGTTCGACTCGGGGTCCTGCCATTTGTTATGACAGCGCTAGCAGAACTTTTTTCTTCAAATATCATCCCTTCCCCTCTCATTGCTGCCGACTGCGCAGACATTCTTGCTCAGTGAGCGATATTGATATGTTGATTCGACAAAATCTAATACGTACATCACCTGCGTAAAGGACGGGAGAAAGGCAGGAAGGTCGGCACACTTTATTTCCAGTTAGTCTGACATGTTGATTCGATATATCTCATCGGTATATTAACTGCGTACAGGATGGGAGAAAGGCAGGAAGGCGCAGGGTGCGCGTCGGCTTCTCATAGGAGAGTGATAACGCGATTGGATTTAAGCCGACGGCCCCCGCCGCATCATGCCTTCTCACCTCTGTTCCTATATTATTATATTCTCGCTCCTTGGAGAATATTCGAGCCGAGGGGATGAGGGTTGCTTCGTCGGCACAGGTTATTTTCCTGTTAGACGAATATGTTGATTCAATAAATTCATGAACACGTATATTAACTGCGCAAAGGATGGGAGAAAGGCAGGAAGGCGCAGGGTGCGCGTCGGCTTCCTATGAGCACTCTGGGTACTTCTAAGCCAAATGTCCCCGTTCGACTCGAGGTCCTGCCATGCGGTGCGCGTAGGCACATTTTATTTTCCTGTCAGTCCCGGCAGACTGATATGTTGATTCTTATCAACAGCTTGAAAGATGGGATAAAGGCAGGGAGGCGCAGGGTGCGCGTCGGGTTCTAGTGCCAGTGCGCCGAAACCTTAGCTGTAAACCGACAGTCCACGTTCGACTCGGGGTCCTGCCATAGATGTGGTACCTGTGGCAGCTATTTGTATTCGCAAGTCCCGATGGGTTGTATGTAGTACAGCAGCTATTTTATGTACACGCGAGAAGAAAAAACAGCAAGTACCAGCACTAGGAGATCGGAACGTTCACCATAGGATGGGACCAAGATACAATGAGAGTGGTGAAGTACGACATGAACTGCCAAAAATTAGCAGATCGTTCCTTGAATGGCCGCGACAGACCTATTGATCAGAAAGGGCTTCGGCCTTCATTTTCTCCAGTGTGGGCCAATCCGGGAGGGAGAATAAGGCGGGCAGTTTGTCCCAAACTGCCAGTTCGGCTGCGGTATGTGCCGACCTCTGGGCGCGCTCACAATTCGAACAACAGTCGAGGCCCTCCCAACAGCTCTCTGGCCAGGCCTCGAAAGGCATTTCACCCTGCTGCCGCCACCCATCTGCTTTACGACGCAGTGCAATCCGGCGCGCCAGGCATTGGTCGCGTCTCGCACACCCCGGAATAGAGAATGGCTCCCAAAGGAAATCCACCACCTCCCCGTATGCCACGTCTAATGATCGCAAGGCACGTGCGCAGATATGTTTGTCTGTTTCCCCCAATTTGGTCATTATGTCCTCATACCGTTTAAAATTGCTGGCAGCCATGTATCTGCATAGGCCATACAGCGCGAAGGGAAGGATCCAATCGGCAGAAACCTCGCGGGCGACTTTGACCACTGCAATGGAGGTCTTTGGTAAGACGAGGCGTTTTGTGCCACGGCGCTTGCGGTAACTATCCAACGAGGTGGGGACTCCCTCAGATAGGTGAAGCAAGGCTCGCTTGAAAAGCGTATCGACCTGGTACTTGTGGCTGAGCCTGAGTACATCCAACACTACCTGAAGAGACATATTTAACGGATATGGCTGGAAAAAGCTGCGGGGGAATCAGCCCAATTTTTCAGGAGAAGGCGGGGGACCCGAAGACACACTTGAAATGACATAGGGACATCAAAAAATGAGTCATCGCGGTCGGTGGGTCGGGCAGTCGCACAACAGGACAATCTTCGATCGTTTCACTGTCCTCCGGAGGAGGAAAGTCAAGCATAGCTTTGAATACTGGTGAATGCAATGCCAAAAAGTCGCGCGACACACGATATCCCTGATTGCCAGCGCGTAGGATCAGACCACAATCGTCAAACCAGAGACCCGAGACGCGTATGAGATCCGCCTCCGATTCCATGTAAAGTCGGTGCTGGATGCGCGAGCGACCTGAGTGTGGTGATTTGGTGACGCAAAGGTGAGGCGGCACGTGAGAGACTCGGAGCGGAACGCATCGGGCGAATCCCTGTATTGCACCCGTGTTCCTTCTTCTCTCATTTTCTTCCTTCTCGTGTAATCTTCCTTCCGTCCTTCCCTCCTTCCATAGAGAACTTCTACAAAAAAGATATATATATTCGTTAAGTTCGTCCAGCGATTCAGAGCCCGCGATTCATTTCCTATTTAGTCCTGTTGCCATCACGGGGTTCCGATTGGAGTGCGGCCTTGTTACATAATCTTCGGAGTTTGAAATTTCGTCGCGTCGGTTTCGCGACGCAGACTTCATAAAATGTGATTATTTTGAAGAATTGAGACTTTCAGACATATATGACACATCTAGTCTCCTCAGATCTTCGATCATCCTCTTAACAAGTGCTGAAAACATGGAGCTCACGGAAACCGCCGAAAGCTGATGGCATCAGCTGATGTTTCCCGCAAGCGCGTCGCAAAACTTCAAATGTATGTAGCAAGCTCAGAAAAATATCATAGATGCGTAGAACACATTTAACGACTCGCCCGGCTCTCTGGGCGAGTTCTTAGGGTTTTAATCGTCACAAAGAGGGCACAGCGCGCGTTTGTATCGAGATTTCAAACTCCGAAGATTATGTAACAAGGCCGCACTCCGATCGGACCCCCGCGATCACTAACAGACTTCAACAAAACGAGGCATGAGTTGATACCTTGTTGAAGCGTCTGTCTAGGAGAGACTATTTCCTATTCACCATTCTGGATCAACGAGCCTGTATTTGTCATTTGATGCTCAAAATCTGCTACAGTCTTAGCCTAGAGATATTCTGCCCCGTATGCACGTACTGCAGTGCGGACTTCCGCTCGCTATCCCCGTGCCCAGTGTTGATCCCACTGGAAGTCATACCTGATTCGATAAATTCAACAGGTACATTAACCGCTTAAATAATACGAGAAAGGCAGGGAGACCCATCCCGCGATTCAGTTCATTTTTGCAGGAAAATTAGATAGAGATATTCTGTCTCGTATATATGGACAATTGCGAGTACGGTGAGGTGCTTGTCGTTACTTCAATTTTTTCTAATTATTAAATACGCATCTATCGTCCGGTTCTCTAATCCCTGAGTCGACTACGACGTTTATGGATGTTACGAAATACATTCCTAACGACGTCGGGCCATTTCGCGGGTGCAGGCCGAACAGAAGCCATTGATGTTGGGAGCTGTTGCGGAGTCAGCAGAGTCATTTGGCTGAATGTAAAAGAAGCATGCATACTGTATTGTTCAGGGAATAGATGACTGTGGTGCGCCTCAGCACTAGATTTTTAAAAGAATGGAGCGAACGGCCACGCACTACTGATTGCAAGTCCTGGTGCACACCGGTGGCCTGCAATTACTGGGATGGTTGAGGCTGAACTTGCATCGGCTACTGCCACATTGAACCTGGGTTATTGTACATCAGAACTGTAGAGAACGGTGGGTGGGATTCGAGGAAGTACTTCAACCGGTGGCTGGGAGTACAAGCCCCAGAATTAAAATGGATGAAATTACTCACAGGATTCTCAGCGTGTCCGCATCTCAGGTACAGGTTTCGCACACTGGATTATCGCATGTCTGTGTGACCTTTCTTGGTGGCGAATAAGTATGGAGGGAGGACTCACTGGCGCCAACGGCACATAATGAATGTAGGAAGAGGTGAACGTGAAGGCGCTGTGTATGAGAGAAATGGCTGGTTGTTGAGCGAGAGCAGGCAACGCTACACTTCCTTTAAAGGCCTAGATAAATTGTGCCTCCCGCTCCCGATATCAGTGGCGATGAGAATCCCGGAAACCATCACAGTATATGCGTGCTGCCGCCTTGAGCCCATTATAATTTTACACTGACCGCAAGCTGGCGGTAAATCGGGTTACCACTCAGTGCGGTGCAAGGACAGTGAAACTTCCGCACATTAAGGTAGGTAGGTAGGTAGGTAGGTAGGTAGGTAGGTAAGTAGGTAGGTAGTGACATACATTACCTCCGAAGAGGAAGTGCGAGTCAAAACATGGATTTATTATTTATTTATTTATTTATCACATAAATCCATTAGAGTTCGTGCGAGCCCCAGGCTCATATGGATAGTGAGCGATGGTGCAGGAAAAGCCTAAAGGGTTGCCGCCGGCGTTATCGCCCAAATCCACCCTTCGTGGGAAGATGGCGGTGCACCCAAAGGGATTTGGAGCCACCGCCACGTGACAACTGAGAATACTGTAACTATGTACGGGTTGCACCGGGACTTAAAATGGACCGGAGTTCAAAATGCGTTCTTGAGCTCGGGTTTGCTCGGATTTCTTTGTTTTTCCCGAACCTATCCACATATATCGCGCAGAAAACAAATCAAGAGATTCTAAGTGCTCGAAGCAGAACCTGTCAGATTATATCACTTAAAATATCCTGTTCAGTAGTTTCCTTTTCAACCCCTCGTAATTCAGGCACTTGGACCGCGTGAGTATAATATATCCCCCCCCCCCCCCCAACCCTCTTTGGCGCCGTCAAGAATGTTCGCACAATATAAATACGAGTTCTGCACGACATCAGAAACCTCAACTTTCAATCCCGGTGTAACCCATAGTAGACATCTCACAATGATGAATTATCCGCACCTCGTTGATCGGACCCAACGGCAGCAATAATAAACCTGGAGGATACAGGGGTCATGGATTTGCAACTACACAGGGCAGATGCGTAAGCGAATTGTACATAGCTAGCCAAGACAGACAGAATAAACGGGATTTCATAATTATGTCACTCCAAAAATCGTATGGTTTTCCGTTTCTCTGCCATTTCACTCCCACGGTTCCGATGTCCATAAATAAATGCCAGCTTCAAAACAGGGTATCAACTCCTTCCTCTCATCGCATCGACGCCGAGTTAATTAGAAGGTAGTGAGGGAGCGTACCAGCCACCATCTCCGTCGTGTCACGT